TGCCTTAGCCACTATGCTACCAGAGCTCCTAAAACTATAAGGTTCCACCGCCTAAAGAACAAAGTAGAATTGCCTTATAGGGTTCCCATGGCTGTAAATCTTTACGGAACCAGACTGCCTCATCTTTCTCCTGCAGAGGGGCTGGTGGATTCAAACCTCCCACCTTTTCATCAGCAGTAAAATGCCCTAACCACTGCACCACCAGAGCTCCTTGGTATTAGTGTAGGTATAGACAAACACATTAATGAAAAAGAATGGACCTAAGTGTATGGGGATTTTGCATATCATAAAAGTGAAAGCATATGAATAGACTACTCAATCAAGTGTTGGGTCAAGTGGCTATCTTTAACAAAAAATTAAATTTCTACTGCATTCCATACATTCATACACACACACAAATCCTGTATGGATTTAAATTCTTAAAAAAAAAAAAAAAATTACTAAAAGAAAATACAGAACATTTATAAGTGAGTTGGGAAAAGTCCCAAGAAACACAGAAAACCAGAAGCTATCATTCTCAGCACAGAATAAAAAAAAAAAAAAAAAAAAAAACCAAACTCACTGCCTTCCGAGTTGGTTCTGACTCACAGCAACCCCTCCTTGGGTTTCCAAGGTGGTATCTCTACAGAAGTAGATTGCCCAGTCTTCCTTCTGAGGAGTGGCTGGTAGGTTTGAACCTCCAGCCTTCTGGTTAGCAGTTAAATGCAATAGGTGCCATGCTACCAGAGCTCCCCACCATAGAATAAAGCTCATATATTTTAATTTTGTATTGCAGTTTTTTCCCATCAACACTAATGAAGTGAATCTCAACCTCTAATGTTGTATAATCATTAAGCAAACATCTTTTTTGCACTTATTCAAATTTTTAAAAATAATCTTACAAGTATAAAGGAACAATGTGGCAAGAACCTATTTAAAGACAATTCCCTTCATATTAATCCAAATACAATGAAGCAATTTCCTTCTACACCTTAATAATCTAAGTGCTGGTGGTTTACAACCATGTACAATTAAAGTAAAAATGTATAAAATACAATCTAATAGAAAGCTCAATTTAAAAACAAACATGCTTTCATGATTCTAAATTCTATTATAAAGTGAATTTCTCAGTAAGTGACAATCATTTATCTAAGAATAATGACATTTTAAAACCCAGACCTTGAAAGAATCAGAAAGTCTAACTATATTAGGTAATTGAGAGCAAAGCAAAAGAGTATTCAACTTTCTAAAGGTGTAGTACTTTTGTAATCCAATAAAGAAAAAGGGGTGGGGCTTTTTTTTTTGGGGGGTGGTAATTTGGGGATTATGTTTTAATATGTTGACAACATATTTTCAAAAGCTTATTAAGGTTATTCATCTGAATGGCTTTCAGTTATGCAGTATCAGTTGATTTCTCATAAAAAGAAAGCTATTTGTAATTGTACTCAGCACACTTGACTACTAACCAGAAGGCTGGAGGTTCAAACCCACCAGCCACTCCTTGGAAGGAAGATGGGGCAATCTACTTCCGTAGTGAAACTGCCTCGGAAACCCAAGGAGGGGTCGCTATGAGTCGGGTCCGACTCGATGGCACATAACAACAACAACAGTAGAGTGAGCAAATAAAAGTGGAATGGAAGATACCAAAGGTACTTCTTTGGCACACTTCCCATCATCCCGTTTTTTTCTTCAAGATCTCAGTTCTCTCTGCCTCACCTCATTACTACCACAGTTATTTCCAGCCACAGTGCCTTTTCCTCTGAAACCAAAATAACCACACTACAGTGCAGTTGATTCCGACCCATCGCGACCCTCCATTGGGTTTCCGAGGATGTAAAACCTTAACGGAAGGAGACCACTTCATCTGTCTTACACAGAGCGGCTAGTGGATTTGAACCACTGACTTTCTGGTTAGAAGCCAAATGCTTTAACCACTACACCACTACAGCTCTTTCCTTTTCCTTTAGACTCAAAATTTCATCCCATCCTCCCATCCCTACAGTAGTAACGTATTTTTTCTAAAAAAAAAAAAAATTAGTAAGGAATTTTACTGTTAGAAATAATTAGGAAATTGACAAGATGTAGCAAATTAGAGGAAAGAACTGAAGCTACAAATGCAAAAGGTTTCACAAGTTATCCGTATCATATACGCAAAAGGACTAGTTAAGATCGATTAGATCTGCTATTGATCTTCCCACTAATTCTGGTCTTGAGACAAACATAGTCTTCTATTGTTTGGGAACTCTGGTGGCGTAGCGCCTAGGGCATTTGACCGCTAACCAGAAGACTGACGGTTCAAACCCCCCAGCCACTCCTCGGAAGCAAGGTTGGGCAATCCTACTTCCGTAGTGATACTGCCTCGGAAACCCAAGGAGGGATCTCTATGAGGCGGATCCGACCCGATGACAATGAGAGAGAGACTGTACTTTGGTCTTTCTTATTCGAAAAAGTTTCGATTGCAACCATTCCTACCTTTCAGGGAGTGGCAGATAGGTAGAGATAGTTAACCTAGGTCTCCGGAAGAAAGTCATTTGCAACCTAGAGAAACTTGAAGTTAACATCTCACATGCCTATTTTACTTTACTCTTTTAACGTCACTCATTCTCTGAGAACCTCAAAACTACTTTCTACAAAACTAGAAACAACAGAAATGTAACAATGTTTAGTGCTCTCTCTGGTGACAAGGGGCTGCGCATAGTCTTTCTTCAAAATCCAAAAAGGTGAAGCGTTAAGTTTGACGTCTGAAGACAGAAATAGAAGACCTTTCAAATGTGCAGTGGTGATTTGGTGGAAAGAAAACACCTTTTGCCACTAAAGAAATCGCAAACCCTTGCTCAGTGGCTAGCTAAGCGGGAGCGTCCGGTACCCTACCGCCAGGCGAGCTGCAAGATGTTACCCGACTTTCGGCAGGCAGCCACGCGCTGCAGGCCCAGAAACCTCAATGGAGAGTTGTTATCTTACGTCCCGGCCTGTATGCCGGGCAGATTCGTCATAAACACACTAGGTAGAAATAGAAGATAGGACGAGGGGATGGGTCACACAGCTGTAAAACGAAGCCCACCCACCGCTTGACGGTCCCCAAGGCGACAAGCTTTAACCCCATTAAACACTCACCAGCTGCCTCAGGCTCGAGACTACAACTCCCAGGAAGCTGCGCAGCTGACGGAGCAGAGCTTCTCCCAGCATGCAGCACGGCGGAGCCTATGTCCCTCCCTCTTTTATCGCCACTCCACCTACTTTTCTACCCGTGGTCACTCGGGAGAGCCGGAGGTAGGGTGCGGGAGGTCCTCGGCGCGTCGCGTCAGACGTTGGGAGGGGGACAGGGCGGGGAGCGGAGGGAGAATGGGAGGACGAAGGGGAGGAGAAAAGGGAGGGGAGGGTAAATAGTGGGCCAGGCAGGAAGATGGCGGCTGTATCCGAGGTGTGAGTGGACCCGGGTCTCTGCAGCTGGATTTTTCTCTTTCTTCTTCTTCCCTTTCCTTCCCTGTTTGAGATTGGCATCAAGGGGGTCGAATTCGGTTGGCAGCGCTGGGCGCAACGCAGGGGTCACGGCGACGGCGGCTGACGGCTGGAAGAACAGGCTTCCTTCGCCGCTCGTCCTCCTTCCCCGGTCCGCTCGGTGTCAGGCGCGGCGGCGGCGGCGGCGCGGCGGGCGGACTTCGTCTTCACTCCTGCTCCCCCCTGCGCCCGAGAGGGCACTGTTCCTTTCGCCGTCCACCGACCCTTCACCCCGGGGACTGGGTGCATCCCCTGGCGCACCTCAGGGAGCGGAGGCCGGTCTCCTGCTTGGCTGTCGCGCCTCCATGTCGGATAACCAGAGCTGGAACTCGTCGGGCTCAGAGGAGGATCCGGAGACGGAGTCCGGGCCGCCTGTGGAGCGCTGCGGGGTCCTCAGCAAGGTGAGCAACCCATGGGGCTGCGGGACCCTGGTTCGGACTCACCTGCTGCGAGGCGAGCCGCTGAGGGTGTGGGGTGGGGCTAGGCGGGAGGCACTGACCGTCCCAGGGCGGGGGCTGCGGAATGTGCCGGGGTGCGGGGCTGAGTCCTGCCGCAGGAGTCCCGGCGGCTGGGGTGTGGTGGGGGCCTAGGGGGGCTGCCCTTCCAGGCTACCCGTAGGCTTGGAAGCAGCGGCCGAGGACTGGGGAAACGTGTGTCAGCCGGACCTCCAGTTTGGGAGGCGGGATGCGCACCAAGAATTGGGACCTAGGGCGGCTGCTGCTGCTGCCCTGCGTGTCGGAATCCGAGTTGGACAACAGCGATGTCAGAACAGCTTGGCACGGGGGCGGTGTAAATTGGACTTCCAAATGAGCTAAGTCTAGAGATTCCTAGCAGGATAGGATTTGGGGTCGGGGGGGCGGGCACTCCGCGGACAGGGCTGTTTAGGCAGAAGCCGGAGCAACTAGGCTTGGTGCTGAAATCTGAAGCGGTGTGATATGTATGCCGTTAGATGTACAGAGAGGAGAACTTTTAACACTATTTCTTCCTAACCCCACACCCTAGTTCTGGAAAGCGCTATTTAACGGACACGTGATAGTTCGAGAAATATGTATAATAACTTGGCACATGTCATAATGGAGACTGACCTTTGGTCTAGGAAGAATAAAATATTCCTGCAGGCAGCAGTCCAGGGTAAAGAAAACACTCTTTCCTTTGTTGTATTTTAAATAAATTTTTTAAAAAATCCTCTTTTCAAAATTTTTGCAAAGTCCATAGTCATTTGTAGGACTGTAAGGCTAATTATAGTGGATGAGGTCTTTTGTAAGAGAGAAAGTCTGCTCATTTGATAGTACATGATTATTTTTTTCCCATAGTTTGCTATGAGAAGATTCACATAGCCTTTTCTACTTCCTTCTTCCTTCCTGTTAAACTTTTAGAAATGGCTGGAGCTTGCAGTTAACTTGGAGAGAGGGGGAGCTGGGGCAAGTCAACAAGCTGATCATAAGATACTAGGTCATGTGCAGCCACTGACTGTTAAGAAATTACTCTCCTTCCAGTATTCATACTAGGCTAAGCGTTTGGTCCTTATTTGTGGCATTTTTTCATGTTAGGTTACTAGAATGTCTAGAAGGCCAGTAAGAAAGGACCTAGGAAAGTAATAAGGCTAAGGCTTGCAAGTATTAAACACGATCAGAAAACTGTGTGTGTTGATACTGTGATTATTCTTGAAATTTAAGTGAAAGGGCTTTCAGTAAAGTGAAGCTCTCTAGGGTTTCTATAAAATGTATTTTGTAATTAGAGAATTTGTGTTGAACACGTTGTGTAAGAGGTATACATTTACAGGTGAGAATAGTTAAGGTCTTTACTTTTTAATGATTCTGGAAGTTTCATCACTTTTTCTCATATGAGAATCACACTGCTATATTAGTATTGTGGTGGTGGTAAGTATTTTACAAAATAACCTTTACTTGATCTATGGATCAACACTTTTTGAGGGATGGAGAGTGGAAAAAGTGCCCAAGGCAGTCTCCATTTAAAAAAAGATAACAACTGCCTCTTTGGTATTTAAATGCATAGAAATGTAGTATTTGACCATTTCTGTGGAAGGTGAAAAGCTTCAGTTTTTACAGTTGCCACATATGAATCAATAATAATATGTTTCAATATTATTGTTATAAACAACTATGAAAGACATTTTCCTGAAATGTTAACAATTTACAGTTATGTATAGTGTTCTTTGGAAGTTTTTTAATCAAGAGTATTTTATATTGAAGGAGCTCTGGTGCCTAACGCATTTGACTGCTAACCAGAAGGCTGGCCATTCAAAAACCCCCCAGCCACTCAGCGAAAGGAAGACTGGGCAATCTACTTTTGTAAAGATTTACCACCTCGGAAACCCAGCAGGGTTCACTATGAGTCGAAATCGACTCATAGGCATTGGGTTTGGTTTTTATTTTATACTGAATACATAACACTGAGTATGGCACTTTTTTTGTTTAAGTTTAATTGTACATACATATTTTGAGACTTTTGGATTCAATTGGTAATTTAAACAGTTGAGTTAGAACTAAGTATCTGTTCCCTTTTGTTTGTTTATTTAAGTATATTATTGTGTTTTATTGTTAGGGAGCTCTGGTAGCATAGTGGCTAAGACACTTGCCTGCTAACCAGATGGCTGGCGGTTCAAACCCACCAGCCACTCCTCGGAAGGAAGGTTGGGCAATCCTACTTCCGTAGTGATACTGCCTCGGAAACCCAAGGAGGGGTCGCTATGAGTCGGGGCCGACTCGACGGCACATAACAACAACAACAACAATTGTGTTTTAAGTATAAGTTTGTGTAGCAAATCAGGTTCCTGTTTAACAATTTTTATACAAATAGTTGCAAGGTATTGGTTACAGTTTTCACAGTTTGACTGCATTCTCATTGTTTCCATTCTGTTTATTCTGTTTCCATTGGTCTAGCTTCCCTGCTCCTCCTTGCCTTTTCATCTTTACTTTTTGGTAATTGTTGACTGTTTGGTTTCATATAGTTGATTAGTTAAGAAAGCATGTTACTTGCCAGTGATGTTTATTTTATAAACCAATCTACTGTTATTATTTAATTTTTATTATGATTTGGGTAAAAGTTTGTGGAGCAAATTCATTTTCCATGCACCAGTTAATACATATTTTGTTTCATGACATTGATAGCAATTCCCCACAATGTAGCAGCTCTTTAACTACTTCCTCCCTATAGTTGCCTCTTCCCTGTGTCTGTCTTTCCTATGCATTCCTGCCCCTTGACTACCTCCTTGTACAGATACTGCCTTTCTGTTCTCCTATGATTGATCGTTCTAAGGAGTGTATCTACCTTATACAAATGTTCACCCTGTATGCCTGTCTGTTGTTTGGCTGGAAGCCACAGGAGTGAGTTCAGTTCCAGACCTGAATGGTAACTAGCAGCCACGGGCTCGGGGGCCTCACCAGGCTCTATTAGACCTGTAAACCTGGCCTTTTTTTTTATGATTTTGAATTTTTTTTCACATTATTCTCCCACTCTATCCAGGATTTCCTGCTCTGATCCCTTTCTGAGTGATTGTCAATGATAGCTGGACACCATCTAGTTCTTCTGGTCTCATGGTTGTATAAAGCCAATTTGTTATTTAGCTGAAAAGTTACCTTCAGAAATAGCTTCAGTTCATGGTTCAAAGAGTATCTTTAGGATAATAGTCTTGGAGGTTCCTGTAGTGTGTATTGGTCTAGTAGGTCTGGCCTTTTTTTTTCCAGAATTTGAGTTTTGTTCTACATTTTTCTTCCATTCTATCCAGGACCTTCTATTGTATCCCTGGTCAGAATGTGTGATAGCGATAGCCAGCCAATACATAGTTCTTCTGGTCTCAAGTTAGAGGCCATGGTTCCTGTGGGCTAGTAGTCCTGTGGACTAGTTTCTTTGAGTCTTCAGTTTCCTTTATTTTCATTTGCTGCAGAACAACAGTTGTATCTTAGATGACTACTTGCAAGCTTTAAAGCATAAAATGCTACTCACCAAATTAGGATGTAGAACATTATTTTTATGAACTTTGTTATGCCAAGGAGCTACGGTAGCATGGTGCCTAAGGCACTTGACAGCTAACCAGAAGGTTGGCAGTTCAATCCCACGAGCCACTACTTGGAAGGAAGGTTGGGCAATCTATTTCCATAGTGACATCGCCTCAGAAGCCCAAGGAGGGGTTGCTGTGAGTTGGGTGGGACTCAATGGCACGTAACAACAACAACAAATGTTATGCCAAGGAGCTTTGGTGGCATGGTGTCTAAGGCATTTGACTGCTCACCAGAAGGCTGGCTGTTCAGACTCACCAGCTACTCCTCAGAAGGAAGATTGGGCAATCTACTTCCATAGAGATGCCAGCTTGGAAACCCAAGGAGGTGTCACTATGAATCAAATCAACTCTATGGCAATGAGTTTGGTTTTTGTTTTGGTATGTTATGCCAAAGGAACTCTGGTGGCGTAGTGGTTGAAGCATTTGGCTGCTAACCAAAAAGGTTGGTGGTTCGAATCTATCAGCCACTCTGTGGGAAAGAGATGAGGCAATCTGCTTCTGTAAAGATTAACAGGTTTGGAACTGCAGTTCTACTCTGTCTTAAAGGGTTACTGTCAGTCCGAATTGACTTGATGGCAATGGGTTTGGTATGTTATGCCTAAGTTGTCCCCCAAGACTATGGTCCTATACCTTTTAACCCCAGTAAACCAATCCTGTGACTTTTTGGCTATGTCTAGGAGCCTCCCTTAATGTGCCCTCTGTGTGCTTTGTTTTATATATGGATATATATGCAGCATTCACAAAAAAATATATATGTATACACCTACAGATACACCTGTACATGGATGTGCATTTGCTCACATATGCATTTTCTATTGACATATTATATGCACTGCCTATCTATGTGACTCCACACCTGTTTTTTAGTTGTTGTTACAAATTTCTATATGTTACAGCATTTACTGAAATTGCCGCTTTTCTTAAATACTTCTTGGTGTCTTTGTCTATATTGGTTAAGTCATACTGCCTTTACCCACCTACTGTCTACAAAGTTAATTCCCCTCCCTTTCTCTCTCATCCCTGGTCACCATCAGAAAATGTTGGTTTCTGTATGTTTATCTGTTCTTGACTTTTTCTTATAGTGGGGCCGTATAATATTTGCCCTTTTGTGATTCCTTTTTTCACTCAGCATAATATCCTCCAGATTCATTCTTAATATATTTCACAGACTTTTCATTATTCTTTATTTTGTTGTTAGCTGCCATCGAATCGACTCCAACTCAGCGACCCTGTGTACAACAGAACAAAACACTGCCCAGTCCTGCGCCAGCCTCACAATCTTTGCTATACCTGTGCCCATCGTTGCAGCCACTGTGTCAGTCCATCTCCTTGAGGGCCTTCCCCTTTTTCATTGACTCTCACATTACCAAGCATGCTGTC